CACGCCCTCCTCAAAAGTCATCAAAGCCCTGACTTATCAAAAGTTTTTTTCGGTGAGATGGTTTGCGTTCAAAAGGTTTTCTCTGAAAAGGTTTTTCGGTCAGGTGACAATTACCCCGTCAAAAATCCTAAAAAAGAACTCGTGTTATTTCATCATGTCCAGCATATTTTAGCATTTGGACAAGGTAACCATGGTCCAATTCGGTTCCGTTGGCGAGATATTTCAGTGCAAACCAATGTGAGGTGGCCTGACTTTTCGAAATCGTAGGGTTAAAATCTTGATTTTGAATTCGAATTCGAAACAGCTCAAACATTAGAACTTAATTTACAGTACAAATAACTGTTGATTACTTGGCAAAAATTGTTGTCCCCAGCGCGGACGCAGATCCGGATCTGATCGTAGAAGCCGCCGAGTAGGAATGAGTCGGGGGGAAGTGTCGACGAGGAGAACAGCTGAAAAATCATTCGCGTCAGGTTCAGCGGGCTGTGGCATTGTAGGCATCGATGTTGGCCCGGCGCACCGCCGTGAGCCCGGAATTTTGGACAGATTCTGATACCAATGATCGTCTCAATTTTACTATGACGCGATTTGTACCTTTCTTGTGTTATTCATAGTTGACTAGCAGGTGTGCATAGACAGCAAATTAAAAATTGCCACGGGCGGTGAATCTTACAACGGCCCCTTACTGCAGGGACGCTATCGCGCGCCCCTGCGCTACAGCTAACTACAGTAACCCACCCCACGGCCCCCATTACGCTAGCCTATTGCCTTCCTTTCCAAAAACCAAAAGTAAGGAGCAAGAAAAAAAGAAACAGAAGGAAGGAAAAAATAAGAATGTAATAAGAATGTAAAAAAATAGAGCCGTCCAGGGGCGTAGCTGGCCCCAAGTTTCGGGGGGGGGGGGCAGCGACTTTTCGGAGGGGGCAGCAAGAAAATTTTTGCGAAATTTAAGCGCCGCAGGCGAAAAATTATGCTAAAACAGCAGAGCCGCAGGCAAAAAAATTAATAAAAAGTAATAAAAACAGCGCCGCAGGCGAAAAAATTTTCAAGATGAAAAAAATCATAAGGGGGGACCCTTACGTTTTTTTCGGGCCCGCCCGATTTCGGGGGGGCAGCCTGCCCCCGCTGCCCCCCTTCTACGCGCCTGGAGCCGTCCATGTGAACATTCTAACGACACTTTTCAACGAACTTTCAACGTATTGTGCTCAAAGAGCTTCTTGTTAGCGTTGACTTCGAAGATTGTAAGAATTCTAACTAATTATTCCGCAGCTAAAATCGATTCCTATAGTTCTACGATGCTGTCGTACAGAAAAAAAAATAGCAAAAATAGGTTGGAGTAAGTTTATAAGGATCTCGAAACGCTACAAGCAACGCGGCCCTATTTTTCAACATCTTCCGCTTGTTCTTTGGGTAAAAAAAACGCTACATCCTATTAACTACCGCGCCTGAACTTCCGGGAGCGACATCGAACTGCAGGCGAAGCTCCATTAAATCCTGCCTGCTTAGTGCATAAGAATGTTGAAAGCGTGATTGGTGTCGTAAGACTATTTAAAGCGCACGTTCAGGAGGGGCCGTGTACTCTTTAAGCTTTACAAAGTGCGCAATTATAGCTTCGATATAGCTATACTTCGATTCCATTTCTTTCTCGTATACTTTTGGTTTTTGGAAAGGAAGGCAATAGGCTAGCGTAATGGGGGCCGTGGGTGGGGTGGGTTACTGTAGTTAGGGCGCAGGGGCGCGCGATAGCGTCCCTGCAGTAAGGCGCCGTATTCACCGCCCGTAAAATTGCCTTCCCCCACGTTAAACCCCCAATTTCCCCTTTGACAGGCAAGATTGCGATTTTCGCCCCGGGACCCGTGGGGTCCCACACCCGTTTCCCGTCGTGTACCTTTGCCGCGGCGCGTAGCCGTATTTTTGCCTCAAAGCAAATGTGGGCATTGACGAGATGCCGCAGCCGCCAGCTCAATTTTGTGTACGCGAATCGCCGCGGAGGAGGAGGAACCGGCGCGGCATCGGCCGACCTGAATCAACGGGATCATGGGGGACTTTTTGGCGGACACGAGTGGGCCGATTTGCCATCAGATGACAAAATTCGGAATTTTTGGTATTAGTCCGATTCTGCGGGCCTTTAAAGGGATAACGACGGCATAATTAATCGGTGATGCGAGGGGAAAGAAAATGTCTCTGCGTCTCGCCCTTGCGCGCGTTCTCTGCCCTATTGGCTACGTGCCAAAAAGTCGATCAGGGGGGTGATCGACCTATGCCGTCGGTATCCCTTTAAAGGGATGGCGTAAGCCGAAATCTGAGGTTTCTTAGATTCCTGGAAATACGCAGATGTTGCGCGCTCGCGACTCAGAAAAGGGCCTCACGCGCCGAACACATAGAACATAAGCAGGCCCGTAGGGGAGCCGCGATTTCGGCAGGGGGGCACCCAAAAAAGTGCCGCAGAAAAAAAATCTGGATTTGCCGCGGTTTGTGACAAAAATCATAAGAGTCCCCCGGTAAGAGTTTACGTCTCCCAAAGCCGAAGAGTCTCAAAGTTTTCGATAGTTCCGGAATTTCGGTCAGGATCTTGGAAACGCCATGCGATAGATAATAAGAGGTTTAATAGGAGCCTACAATAATTTAAAATAAGCCCCGCAGGCAAAATGTTTCCAAATAAAATAATAAAACCCGCGCCGCAAGCGAAACATTTTGGAAAAATAGGTTTCTTAGTCGTTTAACTCGTTTTAAAAACGGTAATAAACAGCACTAAACATTTTTATGAAAAAAATCTGACGGGCAACCTTACAAACTTTGGCGGGCAAATCCAGCCGAATCTGGCAAGGGTCCGGAAAGCCACGTCACACGTGCTTTGCTGTGCCCCTCCTTTCTTCACATTCTAGCTACTTTTTTTTTGGGGGGAAACCTACACGGTTCCTCGGGCAGGCGGGAAAATTTCCACGTCGTAGAAACGGTAGCCACCGCTCTCACGGCTCTGTTCGGCGCCCATCCTAACTGTAAGGTGTTTTCACATCGGATTTGCTTTGCCGGCAGAATCAAATCCAATCGGATTTGATTTGAACCGGAAGTCCAATTCAAATCAAATCCTTGACCGATTTGATTTGATTAATTTGAGCAAAGCAACCCAAATTTCCAGACATGGCAATTCCGGGCGTCGCGTTCCGCGTAGCCGACATAGACCCAGAATTTTGCGCTTACAGTTAACCTACGGCGCAGCCTGAAGCTTCTAGCGCAAAATAATTTTGAGGTTGTTTATGTCAACTGGCTTAAACGTAGTTGCAGTTGCGCCGCGAAGCCTAAGCCTAAGTTCGCGCCGAACGGTTCGTGGAGCCGGTTGGGGAACAGGGGGGTTGGGAAATGCTAGAGAGGACGGGCGGGAGGTTCCCAATATTTGGGAATCCCGAATATAGACATAGATCATAGTTGCGACATCATGCGTTAAAAAAACGTTATGCCATGGCATATAGCCGTATCATGTGAACTATCGGGTCGACCAGATTGATGGCAGATGGGCACAGAGGTCAATGTGAAAAATAGCCGCAGGGTATGCTCTTTCCCTCGCGTTCCATCTCTCTTTCTCTCTTTCTCTCTCTCTCTCTCTCTCTCTCTCTCTATCTCTCGCTTTCCCTCGCTCTCTCTCGCCATTTCAAAGTCGCCAAAGTCTCTGTTGCCTTACTAATATGCCAAAAACCCGAAGTTTTTTGTAGGAGTCTAGAAATGCCTGGCAACTGCATAGAAAGTATTTTAGAAGTGTTTTTTGGGAATAATAAAACTAGATCTTAAAGCGCACGTTCAGGGAGGGGCCGTGTACTCGTCCCAACGTGTACACCCTATCGACGTAGGGACCGCGCGCACTGCCTGCCCGTGCTGTGACAGGCCATTCCCCTCATTTGTGGCGTGGGGCGCCCCTCGGCCCCTCGCCAGGTTGTAGCTGTGGCTGACTGGTATCCATCCGCGCCTCCCGAGCGGGGGGCCCGGGTTCGACCCCCGGCCGCGGCGAAAACCTTTGCTTTTTTCCAAAAAAACGTCCCTGAACGTGCCCTTTAACTAGGAAAACCACCTAAAAACTATCAATAAATTTTCAAAGTGTCGGCTTTTTGGAAAAGTAGAAATGAGAAAGTAACTAACATTTTAGAAATAGACACTTGGGCAATTTATATTTCAAAAATATCTTGCCCCCCGATAAACTCTCACCCCGATATTGCGAAAGAGATCAATTTTCTGGCACCTTATGGCCATTACCACCTCTCTCGCACCATGGAATTGATGATGGAAGTGCCTGTCTTGTCGTCGGATCACGGCATTCCACGGAGGCACGGATAGGACCCCCCGGGGCCGCGGCGCAATCGGTTAGCGCCGATCCCAAATCTCAAACAGAGGGTCCGGGTTCGACCCCCGGGACCAACGTGCAACCGCTATTTCTCCCCAAAGCCTTTGCCAAGCTTTTGCGTTTTGCTTAAAAACTCTGCTCCAGCCATTGAAAACTGCTAAAACAATAAGGATCTGGAAAAATTAACCCGATCAAAAAAGAGACGGTTGATCCACTGGCGTCCATTTTCGCAAAACAGTCACTTGGAGCCATTTTAAGCGTCGATTTCACGCACTGGGGGGTAATCGACCTTAATTTTACCAAATCTAGGCTCAGATTTCAGCGACAATCCTTAGTTTCTGCGCTATTTAAAACCGCACAAAATCCTGAACTGAACTTCAAAAGACCATCACAAAAAAGTACCAGAATAGATTTTCGATAGTTAGGTCTCAAAATCTGCGCCTTGGCGTCTAGAATATTTAAATCTAATTGAGTTTCTAATTTTTCTATTACATTTCGAGAAAAATCCAGTTTTGTCCAAAAGTTTGTTCATTTTCGAACAAAAACGTAGCGAGCGCGCTGTCCCCTTGTGCAAAGGAGCCTGCCGTAGCCCAAAAGCTATCCGTGCCTGCCTGTTAAAGCCTGGAATGGCGTGGGATGGCAGAAGCTTGTATTCAATTGAATCTCAAAATATCGTGTGGCTATTGTAGGTATATTCGACATGAAGAGAGAGCAGAGAGTAAAAGATGGACAGCCCGATGGCACTGATGAAATAGTGTTTGAAGATGGCGGCCAGAAGGCTTTTGACCACCACCCAGCGAGCTTCGATCATTGTGTGGAACGTTCGCTCGCCGTACGTGACTTCGCCCCAGATGACTGAAATGTGAAATGTTGAAAAATAGAGAAGAAAAATAAGGGGGGGGGGCAGACTTACCCAGTGGCATTAGGGTAACGCAGATAGCGAAAAAGCAGCAAGAGGCGTGGTTCAAACATGGGTACAGAGGCTGAAATTTGATCAACTACAGGGTGTCCCATAAAAAAGCACCCCTCCCGCATTTTTCCATATTACATCCGATCGGTCCCAAATTTGGACTAGAGGTGTATTGGACCCTAAATAACCACAATCCTGAGTTATAGCCCGCCAGCTACAGTAGTTTTCGAGATACAGCAAAAATAAACTTTATTATGCGTTTTTCATAAGGTTTTCGTCGGAATCGACGCTTCGAACCTTAAGTGAAAGTGAAGCGGCAAGCGTTCTTTACCCTTAGAAATTTTTTCCTGATAAAAATTCATTAAATAACCGTTAATTTCAACAATTTTTGTAACCGAATGTCACCCCCGATATTAAGCGAAATTAGGGATTCGCAGCCGGAAGTCGATGCAAATCGATGCAAAGTCCAAAAAGATAGCCGAAAAAACTGTTAAGAATCGCGTGAGGAATAGGATTTTGGCAATAACTTGAAAACTACTGTAGCAATCCGGCTATAACTCAGCATTGTGGTTATTTAGGGTTTGATATACCTTTGTGCAAAGTATGGGACCGATACGGGAAATGCGGGAGGGGTGTTTTTTTTTGGGACACCCTGTATGTATGTACACCCGTGGTCACTCGCCCCTTCCCCCCTCCTAAATTACGGAAAATTTTATGAAAAAACACATGAAATTTTTTGGCGCATTGCCGACAAAAGCACTTGCGGTCCCGCAACCATTTTCAAAGATTTAAAAATTAAAATAGCTTTCATTTGGGCTTTGGAGGTTTGAGAACGACTAAAGTCCTGGTGATTGACCAACGGCCAGCTGATTACCGTGGCGAATCGGCTGTAATCAGCTGGTAAAAATGGATGGTAGGGACGGGATGACAGCCAGTTGGGAGAACTCACCTTTTGACCCGGTAACAACTTCAGTGTGCAGACGCCCTTCTTCTGCACCAACGTGACGTTCGCTGAGACGATGTTTATCGAGACCTGACAGGTGCGATATTAGCTCCAGAGAGAGAGAGAGAGAGCGAGAGAGAGAGAGAGCGAGAGAGAGAGTGAGAGTGTGAGAGGCGCGTGTGTGTGTGTGTGTGAGAGAGAGAGAGTGAGAGTGAAATGAAAGGCGAGACAGAGAGAGCGAGAGAGAGAGAGAGAGCGTGAGAGCGAGATAAAGAAAACTTTATGACCCAAAATACATACGTCAGCACAGTCGAACGTCCGGTGCAACCCAACCGCGAACAGAAAGATGACGAGGTTTGCGTAGAACACGGCCTTTGTCGGCGTCATCTGCATGATCTAACAAGGAGTGGTTTTTGAGGGGCAATGGAGTTTAGAAGAAGTTAAGAATTTTCCGCTGATTCCGAAACGGCTTTCAAAAGTTGCGAAACGACCAGATTAAACAAGTTATGAAGCTGTCGGGTGCGAGAAAGGCGATACTTTTGCAAAAAAACACCGCGGCCGTATGGCTTGGGTCGATTGACAAGATTTTTGAAAATATTCGAATGACAATACAGGGTGTCCCAACAAAAAAACACCCCGCTCTAACTCGACGCAGAAGTATCCGATCGGAATGGTAATTACGCCATTCGTAAGCCCTTCAATCAGCGAGTTTGCAACAATTTTCAGAGCCATGTTTTTGTTCAACAGCGCCATTTTACAAGCCATTTTGTAAAATTTTGCGGGTTTTCGCGGTTGCATCCGAGCCAATTTGCCTGAATTTCTCCAAGCAAAATGACCGGGAGTGGGCGTTAATTACACGCAGAGACCGTTACTCAATGTTTTGAAACGCGTTATTAAAGGGATACCCAAGGTTTTGGTGGCAAATATATAGTTATGTATTCCGGGCAGTACAAATGACGCGGGAATTTTGTGTGGCAATCGGCGCCAGTGCCGCACAAAATTCAGACACCTTTCCCTCTTGGGGCGTCCCCATCCCATCCAATGGCTTGCCACTATGGCCTAATGGATAGCATCCTGGCCTACAAACCGAGGGTCCCGGGTTCGACCCCCGCCCGCGGCATGGTTTTTGCTTTTTGAGCCCCGAAAAGGTTGGGCATCCCTTTAAACGGCGGATTCAAATAAAACTATAGTTTTGAAAATTCAAAATTGTTGCAAACGCGGCATTTCAAAGGCTTTCAAATGGTGTGCCTACCATTCCGATCCGATACTTCTGCGTCGAGTTAGAGGGGGATGTTTTTTTGATTGGGACACCCTGTATTTGTGGTTATTCGGGTTCTTGCGAGGTTCCCAGCAGCATCTTTTTCTACCCGGATTTGGTCTGACGCCTTTCACAAGGTATTTTACAGGATTTATGAAGGAACCTAAAATCGCTCAGTTCGCGCTGATCCCGAACAAAATGCGCTGTAACTGTTGAAATCGCCCTCCCCCCCCCACCGCAAATTTAGCCAAACAGCTACGGAATCACCGGAAAAATTCTGGCTACCGTAGGCGCGGTCAGAAAAGTCGAATTTGCAACCAAAGTAAAAACACTTTACAGGAAGGGCCGGGCCCGGCCCGGCCGATTTATGGGCTCGGGGTTAGTGTGGGCATTTGGCCCGAATTTCGGGCTAGCCCCGCCCCTTCGAGTCTCGCCCGGATTTCGGGTCGCCCGGATTTCGGGTCGCCCGAATTTCGAATCGGGCAAAATGCCCACACTACTCGGCGTGGGCCGCGGCTGGGACAGCAGCTCGCCAGCGATCAGGGCCTCTGAAGATCTGATCAATATCGGCATGAGAGGATGACCCGGGGCTATTTACTGGTGTGAAGGGAGAGAGAGAGAGAGAGAGAGAGAGAGAGAGAGAGCGGGCAGAGAAATGCCCCAAGGCCAACCGAATTCTGGCGGCCATCAGGCGGAGGTCATCGAAAGCGATCCATTGCTCCCAAAATCGATACGTTGCCTTTTTACGTCCTTTCCGCCCTGTATCGGCATTCGGTGCTACCCAGGGTTGTTATATGAGTTGGCTTGCACGGAACTTTATTTGCCGGGGACTTTAATCAAGCAAATTAGCAACTCAAACTCAACGCGATTTCCATTTTGTTTGATGCGGTTTTTGTTCAGGCCGGGTCATACAAGATTCGAGGTGAGTAGACTCGCCGGCGAGTTGTTGCTGGCCTCGAAATTGTTGACCGGAAGCTACCAAGATCCGAATTCGCGAAGGGAAATTGGCTAGCGTTAAGCCGGGGGAAATTATGCGAGAACAACGAACATTGGTCGATTTCAAGTTTTTCATGCCAAATTTATTGCAATGACTTTCGCAGCAAATGCAAATACAGGCAATTATTTCTAAAAAAAATTAAGTCTGCGGCGCTGTTTCCCATGTTTTTCGACCGTTTCCCCGTTTCCCTGCCCCGTTCGCACCTTCCTTGCGCTCAACGGAATTACAGCGTTCTGACGGTCTTTAAAGCGACTCCGAAATCTGGTCCACGGCCCCCTGCTGTGATTCCTGGCAAATAGCCAGATGCGGCCGCAACGCGACCGCACCGCAGGATCTTTTGCCCCTGTTTGGACGCGAAATAGCTTGTATTTCAAAATTCTGATACTATTTTTGGGATCCTCAACGAATTTTAATCATTCCAGACTTTTAAATTATGAAAATTGACCAGAGAATCACGGAGATCGAGAGATTGGGTGCATTACAAGGCATTACGACAGGTAACTGCCGCGCACTCAATATGTCGTTTTCGCCCCAAAAAGAATTCGGTGTTTCTCGAAGATTTACGTTTTCGCAATCAAATCACTTTTTTAGCACTTCTCGGCAGTGCCCTTTCGTTTTTTTGACCCGTAGTTCCAATCCCCGCACGCACGAATTTCGACTTCTGAGCCCCTTTAAGACCTGTTTTTTTTTTTGACCGGGTTACGGATTTCTACATTTCCAGTTGTCGACGCTCTGATAGCAAATGCTGCCGATGGAGGCGCTGGAGGAAACACGGGCATTCATCACATGGATTCTCTCCGCCGTCGTCTTCTTGCTAGTGGAGCAGGCCTTGTTTCCATTTGAAACCGTGCGTCCCAGGACCAGGCTAATACGTAAACCAGTGGAAAAAGACCGCTTCGCGGCACTTTTTGCGGTACAATTCAAATAGGCGGGGGGGAAAGATTTAGGCGGGGGGGGGGGGAACCGAACTTTTTTCCGCCCAAGCCTATATTTTTTATATAAATAGTGGAAGTGTTTTTAAATTGTTTATAGCTATTCCTAAACATAAAAACTTTACAAAACTTAATTAAAAAAATTAATTTTAGGTCGAAAAATCATTTTTTTGCGGCCCAAAAATGACCAAATTTTCGACTTTTTCAAGCGTTTTTCTAACTTTTTAAAAAGTTTTTCCGATTCAGATAGGCTTAGATTTTGCTAAAAACAATGTGAAAACACTTTATATTTGATTACTATCCCCACCAGGGCCGACAAAAAAAGTGGTTTCCCCCGCCTAAATCTTCCCCCGCCTATTTGAATTGTACCCTTTTTTGCCACTGGACCCCGTCCGGGGACCATGAATTTCAGAAATATGGACACCATCCCGAAAATAATTTTGAAATTGGAAGTCTGAGGCTTCGAGGAATTGAAGCAAATTAGCTCGTAGGCAACCCCGTAAAACGGCAAAATTTTACACAGTAGCTTCTAAAATAGCGCATTTTTATAGAAAACACGGTTTTGAAGAGTGTTTCAAACTCGCCGTTTGAAGGGCTTGCGAATGGTGTAACTATCATTCCGATCCGATACTTCTGCAGAGATACTTCTAGGGGGGGTGTGTCTTTTATTGGGACACCCTGTCTGCACGCCCCTTTTGCAGTGTTCGATGAGTTGCTCGCAGAGGATGCTGATCCTCGCCCTGCATTTGACCATCTGGGGATGTGCTCTATACGGTCTGTCATTTTTCATACTAAATGGGGACGGATAAGGCATACCAGGCGGCCGCGGGCGGGGGGGGTTAACGATTCGAGCAAAGCCGGAACCCGTACTGCTCTATGACGA